CCAACCCTTAAGGGGGGGGGGGTTTTAAGTTTTCCGTTCCCCCCGGGTGTCAAGTTTTCCGACTTTTTTTGGGGGCCCCCCCCCCGCCCCCCCCCCAAACATCACCCCACTCCCGGAAAAAAAAAAATCATAAGGGACCAAAAGTTTCCCCTTTTATTGCTGGTTTCTTCGGTGGTCGTGTTTGAGCTTGAAGATTTTCGCTAGCGCGGAGACTGCTGCGAGCATGGTCTCACAAGGACGTACGTACATCGGCGGCCGTTCGGAGAGAGAAGTTGAAGTACGGCAGCAGGACCTCCACCGGAACTCGGCGCGCAATGTCCTGCAAGGTTTCCCGCCTAGTGCCCTAGTCGAATGGATTGGACGGAACAAACGCGAAATTTGAGCACAAATAAATGCGAAATCCAGGTTGCGCAGGGTTGCGTGACGGTGGAGCGGGCACGCGCGCGCGCGGGGGGGGGGGTCACGTTTGTGTGTGCACTATTATACCCAGCCATTTGATCGCACATGTACGGCGTACCCACAGGTAGGGGGGTTGCCTACTTAATGTTTAACAAACAAATGTTACGAACCATCAGACAGCGTGACATCTGCAACAAATTTCGAACAACTTTTATGTGCTAGGAAAAATTAATATTGTACACACACAGAGAGACTACTATGTATGCATACATGCGTGTAGCAGCGGCAAATCATGTCAACTTCCAAAAAAAAAAAACTTATATGCACGCTCGCAGTACTTCTATGCTGCAGAGGTCAATCGAATGCTTGAACCACCAACCTTGAGAGGGGGTTGGCGAGCGAGCTTGCGAGGGGTCTTGGGCAGGTTGAGCGGGGTGCGCGAGGCATTGCTCTGCTGCACCACGCCGTTTCTCTTCGGGCGCGAGGGTTTGGCGCGCATCGTATTGTAGTGATGCCCGTCTGTCTGTTATTCGAGACGAAAACTTGATTCCAGAGATATTTACCCTGTCTCGCTTGGCTTACTCCGCCTCTGGTAACGGCGGGAAGGTAGGTGCAACGGGGTGTGCGCCGGGGGCAAGTTAATTATCGAGACAAATTCACATGAGTGAACGCGAGATGGGGGATGCGTCACCAGGAGTTCCCTGGTTGTGATTCAGGTCATGGGCATTGGCTCGCCCCTCCCCAATATTGCGCTGCACCAGATAGACCAGGATAGACACGTGGTACGTAGTACGTGTTCTACTACAAGCAGTTCCCACGGCAGAAACTAAAAAAAACTCTCGCGCACCACGTCGTGGATTGTTGGTTCTCGATTTTTTGCACACAGAAGCACGTGTAGCACGGGTGCAAGGGTGAAGAACGTAGCCAGACACAGTCTACACTTCAAACAAATATCGTGCATCAGAAACTTTGTGAAAAAAATGTCAAACAACCACGTTTGACTCGCTACTCGGTCTGGAGACAGAGACTTTTCGCCGGAGCAATCCTGGTTTCTGCTTCCTCAGGCCCCTTCAACGTATTCGAATTTCGCCGGACGCCCGCACAGCGGTACAAAGGACTACGTGTGAGCGACAACAATGATATCAACTCGCAGCTAGCTCTAATAGCTGTCTTGCCACCGAGGGCGGGAAGGTTTTTCCAAACAACGTTGGGAGCGCGGGGGGGGGGAAGGCGGGGCGGGGCTCAGGAAAAACGGTCTCCTCTCCGCTCGCCGGTCCTCTCCGCTCGCCGGTTGCTCCTTTTTCACTTTTGCCTCTGGTACATACTGTAGCGCAGAATAACAAAAGATTGGTTGTTCTCCACACACACATGACATTCGCCGGGGGAAAGCTTGTATAGCCATCATGCAAGAACGATTGGGTCCTCGCGAAAAGCAGATCCATCCTCGGCCCGGCGGGTTGCCTGTGGTGTGTAAAGCACCCCGCCCAAAGAGAGGATTGATTTCCTTCGCCACGTACTACGACCGACCAGAGCGACGTGTGCGCGCCGCTGAGTCTTGTTTCAAATGAAAGGGAGACACAGAGCCGCCGGGCCCCCTCGACAGCACATGCCGCACACCACGTTCTCACCGATAGTCTTACCTCTTCCACGCCTTGCACGCCGTGGGTGTCTCTCGCCTTCTCTTGCCGCGCCACGAGCTCGTCGTTTGGGGGGTCGTGCAGCCGTATACCCCTTTGGCGGGCGTGTTTTTTTTTCTCGAATAAGGGTGTGGCATGTGTGTGATGGACTCTGTCGAACGTCGCAAGGAAGGAGCTTTGAGAGTCGTGTCGCTCCCTGTCAAAGAGGGGGTTTGATGGCTCTGACCCACAGATCTCGGTTCCCGCCTGAGTCGGAGAATGTTGATGTTGTTGTGCCGCTTCAATTAACGACCACATTCCTAGGATTGTAGAATATACCCGGTGCGAGCGAGCTTGAGGAGCGAGCTGCTACCGGCAGCACGAAAGAGATCGGGTTCTTCGCAATGTGCGTGCATTTTTCTGTCCCTCTATGTCTCTTCCGAACTCGAGACGGAAGACGTAATCTGGTACTTCTTTTTTCCTCACACATGTACAGCAGCGGCGCCTGGGAATGTCAAATGTTTCTTCTTCGTTTGTGGTACAGGTTAATCTTCCGATTCTACATTCTATCTATTTATTTTTTTTTGTCTTCACGTCAAATCAGCGCTCACAGCAATAAATAGTGCCGTTTACTCCAACCCGTCTTCACACACAAGATCCCCTCTCTACGCTCCCCTCGTGCGGTACTACCTTCGATTTTTAATGCGAGAAGAGTTCAGCACTCTCTTCCCTCTGTGTACGCACGAACTATCTATGTACTCCTGCTGTATCTGCCATCACACCCGACTGGATACTCCTGTCATGTATTGATGCTGCTGTATGTACATACTACGTCTGCTCCTGCTCATGTACTACGTACTCCAACAGCACAACAGCAGAGTACATCACAATGCTCCCGTTGGATCTTCTAGTTGCACAATACGTTTATTTCGTGCTGCTGCTGTAGCCTTATAGCGGTTGGTGGGGTGTGTACGGTGTACGAGCGTACAGCAGTGTACAGCAAGCATAGGTTGACGTCGTGCAATCTACGAGTGAGTGTGGATCTTACTCAATCCATCAAACCGTTTCAAATTGCACGCCTGCCACGGAGGAGCCACGTGATCATAATACGTATGCGCACAGTTTCCAGACTAAAGCGCCACACACACAGCCCAAGGCCATTGCAAGGGAAGAAGTTAGCCGCGCCCGCCGACCTTGATGACCATTTTTTGCTGGCGCAATGAATGGTGAGAGAGGAGGAGAGGGTCGAAATGAACGAAAGCCTCGGAGATGGTTGCTTGATGGTTGCAGCAGTTGGGCAGTTTTGTAAGTCTCGAAAGGCGCATAAAAAGTCGGGATCAACCGGCTCCGCGATGATCATGTCACACATGCGCACATGCAGAAACAGGAGCAGGTGTTTGTGTCGCACAACGACATCGTAGAAAACTTATCACGTGCACAAAGCACACCGACACCGCTGCTCTCTTCCCTGCAACATCAACGGTGGAAAAAAACTACCAACAAAAGCACACACACGCGCTTCCCACAATCGGACGAAAAGAAGGCGACAGAGCGTACAGAATGGAGTGGTCCTTCCTGCAACACAGATATATCATCGCCAAGTTCCTTGGAAGTTGACGTAAACCGACATGGCAACAACAAGACAAAACATGAATGCGTAGCAGTCAGCGACATGATGAACAAGCAACCAAGAAGGCGGGCAATGGCGGCCGCAAATCACCGGCCTGGAGCTCGTCGGCTGCTGCTGGTGCTCTACCATGGCGGCAAAAGAAAGGAGTGAGGTAGGATGAGTTGCAATAGATCGATCGCTCCAGCACTGAGAACTAAATGAAACTACAGGCCAAGCAAACACCAAACAGAGCACAACGACGAGCGCAAGACTCAAAAGAACACTTTATGTAACAGCAAGTGTTCTACGGCAGACTTCATTGTTCTGGCTCTCGCGCAAAACGCGGACAACAGCACGCACGCAAGCCACCCCGACAGCAGTGACTCCCTATATATACAGTGTGTAAGATCCGCCTCCACTCTCTCCTACCGCAGTGACATGAACAAACACACCAACAGCACACCCGCCGGCCGACCGAACAAGTTACTAAATAGATCGCGACCCCATATTCACTCGCCGGCTAGCGAGGCCTCAATCGCAAGTCTAAGCTGGGCGTCGTCTTCTTCCAAGTCGTCAACGCCGAACCCCTTCGCCGGCCCCCCGGCTTCCGCCGGCAACGTTTCCCACGCGCCCCCCGCCGCCATCCCCGACATCAGTAAGGCTTTCTTCAGCTCCTCGTCCTCCTGCCCCACGTCCGCGGCCCCTGCAGCTGCGACTCGGCCCTGCTGCTGCTGCTGCTGCTGCTGTTTTGGCGGCTGTTGCTCCGCGACCTTCGCCGTCGCAAAGTCACCGGCAGCAGCACTGTGGCTTGCGGCGGCGGCGGCGGTCGCAGCGGGGCTCCCCACGTCCCCTCTCGCGTTACCGCCGTCCACGCAAACGCCAGAAGCAGATGCGCCGCCGCCGCCAGCTGCTCCAGCGGCGCCAGCGCCCATGGACTCGGCCATAGCCTGGCGTACCAGGTCTTCCTCGGCCGCAGCCGCCGCGGCGCTGTTGCGCGAGGCTTCGAGGGCGTTCCGAAGCTGCTCCTCCTCGCTCTGGGCCTGCGCCGTGCGCAGCATCTCCTCCTGGGGGCGACGGCGGGTGGCGAGGTAGGTCAAGTCGAAGGGCGATGCATAGGCATGTATGTTGGTGCCTCGAAATAGCCACACATGGGTCATCAAAAAACGATCGAGAAAAGGGCCGCGATTCATGCAGAATCGAAAAATGACGAAGAAACGACGGCATGTACGTGCAGCATGGCGGAGGAGTATGTAGCAAATACGGATCGTTCCGTGGGACGAAATCTTGAAGGCAAGTACCGCAGAAAGACAGGGGACTGGGGGAGGAGAATCCTTAAACAACGCCGGATCGAAGAGACCTACAGTACGTGCCACAAATAGATGACAGTAGGAAACAGGTGCAAAACGCGAGCGACGGATAGGATATAGAAAAAAAAATGTGTTTTACAAGCCCCCGTCCCCCGAGACTATACGACACCCCCTCACTTACCTGCAGCACAACGAGCTCGCTGTCTCGCGATGCGGCCTCGAGCGAACTAAGGTTGGACTGCTCCATGTGGTCGACGCTGGCGACAAGAGCGCTGTCCAAGTCGTCAAACTGCCAAGAGAGCGTTCGTTGTTGGTGAGAGTGTGTTACTGCAAAGGTCACTAGGAGCGGGAGAGACGGCGAGGGGTGCCTGGGGTGGTGGCCAACGCTCCACAAGAATACAAAAACACAAGAAGTGCGCACGTGGCGCAAGACAAGGTGGCATCACATGGGGAATTACCGTCCTAAGAAGAAAAGCGAACGGAACCGAAGCCCGGATGTGACCGGATGGTGGAAGACCCACGGCTGCAAACAATCGCGCAGTCCGCGTGTTTTGAGGGCGATGAAAACGCGTAGGGGGCGGTTGACGGGACAATGGTAGCGGTGAGGTGCAAGCTGTCCGGTCTGTGCGCCAAGAGGTCACCATCAGCATGCTGACTGCCTTCGCGAGGCTGACGCGGTTCTCCACCCGTCTACAGCACGGCCGGTCGAAAAGCACAAGGGCCTGAATGGTGCTGAGTTGATTTGGCCACAAGGGTTCCCACGCACGAGCTGCCCAAGACGAGTGAAAAACTACATCATGCCGTCAATCGGTTGAGACACGTGGTTCTCTGTCCCTTCACCTGTGCCTCAAACACGTTTCTGCTCCATGCCAAAGCGTGATCCATGGCAGCTCGGCCCGCCGGAGAGTTCTCGTCGTCCTTCCGCATCTTCATCTCCTCCAGATCCCACCTTCATGTGGAACACAAAGCGCCGGCGTGGCGTGTGTCATGACAACGCGTGTGTGTGTGCGTATGGGGGCGGGGTGCGCGTGTGTGTATTATTATTAGCATCGACCGCGCACAACCGGCTGACCAATGGAAATGCGTCAGTATTAGAAGCGGGGTAATAAACTCAAGCTCGATCTCCCAAACGTCGAGATTTCCACCCTCACTTGGGTCCTGAACAAAAGAGCAACTCCTTGTGGACAAGCACCCCCCGTACAGCGTCATTCCAACCATCCGCCCATTTTTCTCCAACAAAGGACTACCCGAATGCTTGGGTAGGCTATTCGGGTGTTCTTCTCTTCCGTACCACCTCTAGACGCACAAAGTATCCGTGCATCGATACAAGTCTCCCTCTCATGCCTGAGATCACCGATGACCACTACCAGACACAAAGCGATTTCACAGCAACCCAACGAGACGCGGCGACAAGCCGAACGTCGCCTGGACCGCCTTTCCACCCACACGCTGCTGCTGCGGTCTCCGGGCAGAGAACAGAACAGACAACGGTTTTCCGCTGTACGAACACCCGACCCACTCCACATCCCAGACCCGCACTATACCCCGCACCTGCCGCTGCCGACCTCAGCCGCTCGTATCTTCGACCGCTCAAGCGCCGCCTCCTCCAGCTGCCCCGGCTCTGGGGCGGGCGAAACGGCATCAGCGGCGCCTGCAGCCGCCCCCGACTCCCCCACCCCCCCCGCGCCCCCGCTCCCGGCCGAGGCGCTAGCGCCCGCTGGCCCCGCCGCGTCGCCGACGAGCGGGGGTTGGCTGTCCAGGGGGGCCACGGAGTCGTAGTGCCCGCCGCCGTAGTAGCTCAGGCGCATCGGGGGTCGGGGCGATCCGTGCCGTCCGCCCGCGCTCCCGGCGGCTTCGTGGAACGTGCGTAGCGTCTTGGCACCGAGCTTTTGTTAATCGGCACCCGAACGTGACAGGGAGGGGGGAGGGCATGATCACGTGGGCGTGTGGGGAGGATGCCATCAGTTGGCACGTCTACCCGCGGGGCTCGCGTTAAACGTTCCAACCTTCTCGGGGCACCGAGCGAAAATTATTGCTGTCCTTTCGCCGCTGCCTCGCTGCACCAACGGGGCAACAGGCGGACGCACGCCGATCTTACAAGCTTGTAAACCAAGCGAAACATCGTCTGCCGCAGCTCGGCGAGTTGCTCGCAACGGAGCTGAGCGGAAATTTCCCTTGGTGCTCGGCTCGGCTGGGACGGGTTGGCATCCTGCCACGGAGCAAAACATCATCGTCGCCGTGAATGCACGCTGCTCCACGACCACTGCTGTTGTTGCACGACTACGTAGGCATGACCAAAAACACAAGCTTTTGAGTCCACCGCCGTCACGTTGTCGTCTTTCGTCCCTCGTTGTCTTCACCTGAGGATCGTACGCCCATATCTCCGCCGGCCTATCGTAGATCTCGCAGAGAGCTTGTACCTCCGGATCGTCACCCCACACCGCGTTCTGCCTCTTCACTTCCAGATACCGCAGGAACGCAGCCATATCTCCCTCTACGTAAGGCTCGAAAAAGTGAGCCTCGCTCTGTAGCAGGGGGTGAAAAACAACGAGGTGCGCTGGGAATTAGACTACAATACAACGTCCACGAAACAAGGTTATATGACAAGACAGCGCGACGCCACTCGCACCAGTCGCCAAGCTCGTGATGAGGTGACGCCTAACGCGAAGAAACGCCTTTGAAGCTATATTTGGCGCTCTTCCCTCACGTTGCACGTAAGATACACTCCTTCTCAAGAGACAAGAACCGCACATGCCAACTCGAAAGCAACAAAGGCGGGAGAAACTCAACCCAACCTATCGCCGAGAACGAACACGCTCGAACAGCACTACTCGCAATCCTTCGAGCCACTGCTGTGCCCGATAGCTCACTCGTACTACACACCGCCTGGCGCCTCACTCATCCCGCACCCTCCTATCTCTCATGTTGGTCAGTTTCGTCTTAATCAAGCGCAACCCACGTCGCTTCGTGGCACCTCGATACACCCTCGCTTACCTCCATGTAGTCCATGCAGCGCGCTCGCACCAGCCTGTGGTGGTTGTCGTCACCGTACACCTGGTGGCTCACGCTGCGGAACAGGCAATTGCCGTCGCCCTCTACCGGCACCACACGCAGGCCGCGGCTGCCCAAAGCGCGCCGGTAGTGCTCGTACCTGTCAAGGCACGCCAGTGCGCGGACGACCGCTGTCGGAAAAAAAGAACAGCGGGAACCCAACTAGGTCCCCCTCGTATCGGGAGCATAATGAGATTTCCGTACCATTATTATTTTTAAAAGGAGGCAAGAAATTTGTCTCCTGTCTACGCCCTGACTAGGGGGCCACATGGCAAGCCTTGGCTGCGTATCAGAACGTGGGACGGCAGCCGGTGGAGCTGACCCTTGCGAACTAAAATGAAGGGTTCTCACTTTCTTCGAAAACCGACGAAGAAGGGCGTTCGTTTCCTACGGCAGTACAACCGATTCACCAACAGAGAAAATGAACGTCGACCAACGATCGGGCAAACCGCAAGAGCACATACTGTAGCGCATAGGTTCTCCTCGTAGCGTACGTCCGTTGCCCGCCCCATCGTCGAGGAACTCTTGGCTTGCAGCGCGACAACCAGCACACCCATGTTCCCTCGTAGCAAACTAGAGAGGGCGTAGAGCCAGCAAGTAAAGTTCGCTGTATGGTCTTCTAGTTGGCGCTAGACAACAAAACGCTACCATTTAATACTGCTGTCTTGTCCTTTTAAGATTCTTCAGTATCATCTTAAAAAATGCACACAATCACGGAAGTACTACACAGTCGAAGGGGATTCGTTGAAGTCTTTGCAGTGAGGGGGAGAAAGCCGCTCTGTTCTCCAATTACTATGTACCTCAACAAGAGGACTCACCGGCTGCTGAGCTGGGCGATCTGCCGCACGTGCTGCTGCCCGGGGGCGAGCGAAGCCTGCCTTGCAGAGGACCTGTTGCCCCCCTTCGCCGCGACCCGATGCGGCCCGTATTGGCGGACCCTGCCCCCGCGCGGCGACACCCAGACGTCAAACTTCTTCGCGTAGCCCTTGAAGTGCACGCGGGCGCGGCCATCTTCGGCTGCTTCCACCACGTCGGCTTCCAGCCACTTGTGTCCAAAACGTGCGGGTAAAAACTATGTGACTTTGACAATAACAAAAAAACATGTCACATGAGAGACAACGACCGTCTTCGTGTGTACGAGATCAACGAAGAAAACTAAGATGTCACCCATATTTGTATTTCACCAGACGTCCCACAACAAACAGAGACTGCAGTTGGCCACTCGTGCTACAAGTACTTTGGAGCGCAAATGAGTCCGCTACAAGCAGACTGTGAAGGTCGTGAATGGAAGTATGATTATGATGAGATTTGTGTGATACGCCGAAGCTCAAACTATTTGCCTCTCTGCCTTTAGGCGGCTTTCTCCTAGAATACCGCCACCGAAGAACCTTGGACGAGCAAAGTTTCCACGCCTGTTGAAGGCTGAAACCTGCTGAAAAGGAGTTTTCTACTTATCTACTCTACCAAAGAACACGGATGTATGCCGTCGGATGCCTCCCGTTGATTGTGCCTCCACGAAAGGGAGAAAATCAATCCCGTACGCTACACACACAATCAAACGCTTGTTCGGTCGTGGGCGCGCGCGGGGATAGGCATAGCTTATGTACATCCGTGATATTTGGCGCGGGGATAGGCATAGTTAACATCCGTGCTTTTCCGTCGAAACAGCACCACAAGCGAAACAAGTATGTACCGTAAGGATGCCGGTCTCCCCACAGGGGTGTTAAGCGTTTTTCAAAGCTTCACCACTCGACAACTAGGAAAGCAACACTGCCGAAAAGGGCGGTTTTGGAATTATCTCATCGAGGTCTTTCCTTAGACGTGTTGTTTGACCTTCGCACCCTCCTAGTTGTGGAGTAAGAAAGCTTTGATAAACGTTAACACCCCTATGCGGAGACCCGCATCCTTACGGTACATACAGTAGAAATTGAAAGGCTGTGTCTCACTTGGTTGGCTTCGTCCAGGACCTCCACCCGATGGCCAACACGAAGCGGACCTCCCGGCTGGTATGTCATCGTTCCCGCAGGGGCGAGAAAGGGGGAGTCAATGCTGATCCACTCGTCCCACTGGAGACATGTCGTGTTACGACAGCAGTGAGTGGTACGACACACACACACACAGAGAGAGAGGGAGAGGAACGGATGAGACGAGGATTTGGCCGGATAAAACCTGCTGTGTGGAAGGAGATTGGACCGTTCGCGTCATGGCCAAGTAACTGGAGACGAAAAAGTTTGCTACAACGGGCTAAAATCCATGCATACACCTAAACACCTAAAAGAGCGGGGTGACGACCGCGGTTCGCCAGGAACCCTCCAAAGATCCACAGGCTGGACTGCAGCGTGCATTCAGGGATCTGCAACCACGCGAAGGTTCATCCCTGGACAGCAGTGTTCTTCTCGCTCGTAGTCTTGCTAAGATTAGTCTAGGACTGACCTCCACCTCCGTGAGAGCCGTCCCCAAGCTTTGTCATGACCAATGCAAAAAAAAGTTCGTACACGTGTAAGCATACAATTCCGTGAGTTTTTCGGAGACGCAAACATATGCATATGTATGCTATGCGCATGTACGAAACATGCCCTCTGCTACCGCTGTAGTACACACCGCCGAGAACGAAAGTGAAGTTGAACATGCGAGCTGCTCACATCCCCGCTGCCGTAACGCGCCCCCACGACATCACCTTTGGTGCCCAGTAGGTGTAGGAGACGTAAACCCTGGCGGCCTCTCTGTCCACCGCGGTGACAGTGGCCTCGCACCACTTGTCCACGGTGTCCTTCACGTCAAGATTTGAGCCGACCTGGAGCCCTAGCTTCCACATCTCCAGTTCAACGTCTCCTGCTTCCGACGATGCTGCCCGTTTCGACTCGGCAGTTCCGCCTCGGGCTTCCCCGCCAGCGTACCGCTGCTGATGCTCCAGGCCCCGAGTCTGGCCCGGGTTCATCACGCCAGCTGCAGCCTCCTGCCGTCTGTCGGAGAGAGGGGTACCGCCAGCGGGACGCAGCAGAGAGTAGCTGTCCACTTCCGGGCCGCCGCCACCCTGCTGGGTGGTACTTCTTGCGGAGAGGACTCCGAGAACGCTGCCGCCCGCCCTCGCTTGTGCTGCTGCTGCTCCTGCCGCAGCAGGGTTATCCGTCCACCCCGCTGGTCTCACGTTCTCGCCGTCGCCGCCCCATCGAGGACCGTCGCGCGGCGGGTTCGATCGCTGTGCCTGTCCACTACTGCTGCCGGTGCTATTTTCGGCGGCCCGAAGCGGCGTTCGTTCCTGACTAGGCGGTGCAACCATTTCCGGGCCGTGTCCAACACCGCCGCCGCTGCTAGCGCTGTTTCTTTTTGACCGTAGGCAGCAGTAGCGGAATAATCGTGCGGGCAAACCAAGACGCTGGCAGGGAATCGTACCTGTTCTTTCAAACGCAAGCAACGTCGCGAGGGCGAGCGTGTGTGTTGCGAGCCTCGTTCGTGCGAATCTGATCTCTCGCACGTTTATCTTGGTTGACGTTGATGAGTGGGGGGCCGAGAAATCACAGATCACTTGCTCTCAGCCGGGTCGACGGGTACATGGGTACCCAGTAAAAGAGGTTCTCGAAAGGTTCGCAACATTCACGGGGCACCCTGGCGTTTTTTCCTGAGCCGTACGGGCTTCCCAGTGCTGAGTGGGTTGTTGGGTGCGGCAGCAGCAGTGTTGTCTGCTGGGTAGCGCGTACGCTCGGCGAACTGAGCTCGCGGTGCTGTGTGGGATGGGTCGGGGGAAAAACTTTGTGTTTTTGGGGATCTTCGCCAGTGCCGTGATCTTGGTGCTCCAAAACATTTTGCATTCGAGAGCGGCATCACTCCCGCAGGATCGGCGGGAACAGCAGCCGGTGGAGCAGGTATGTGTGCTTCTTGCCTGTGGGCTGTGCCATGTTGTGGTGGCGTTCAGGGTGGAGGAGTGCTGTGATACCGTTGGACAGCTAACTTGTGGTTGGATGTGTATGACCGTGCAACACGCCGGAGCGCTCTGTTCCGTCAAAAGGTGTCCCAAAAACGGCTAAGTCGAGCCTACTGCTGTACTGCTCGTGCTCGAAGTACGGAGAGACTGACCGACTCTCTTGCACCACAAAAGTGAGCGCTGAACCAGAGACAGGAGGACGCCAGCAAATGGCCAAGATAAGATGGCCATAAGTTTGGAATGAAGTTTATTGACAGCAGAGCCATCAGATACATATGTGATCACGACTCCGCGCGGTGTATCGAAGAGGTGCTCGACCAGGACATGATCGCATCGGGTTCAGCGACGCTACATATATCGTCATTTTCCGTTCTCATTCCGGCGGGCAATATTCCGGCTGCTGTTTACGAAGAAGACCGACGTTGTTGTTAGGAGTGATGCTGCCAGTTTAGTACTCATCTGTAGAGAGCACGGCGGGCTCTGCTACAGCGCTGCACTGCTTGCTGTATGGTACCTGTGTGCCAAACGTCGTAGGTTCTTGACGGTATTTAGTCAGGCTGACAAGGGAGTGTCCGGGAACTGCGAACGTTGAACTCGTGACTCGAGTCTTTGCATCTTGCAGATCATCAACCTGGTACGTTTTCGCCACCACCCCCCGTAATGGTGCCGTCATCGAGGGCCGAAATTTGATGACTGCACCCACAGATGCAAACTGCTGCACCCTCGTCCTCCACGCACCTTCCCGACATACAAGTACTTGTCACGCACGACCACGTTTAGTAAAGCGTTTCATTTTTGCCACATGGAGTAAATGAACGACCCTTATTTTGGTGGTTTTCTGAGTGCTACCGGCAACAGCAGATTAAATGCCTGGTACTATTCACGATACTAACGCCCTGCACCTGCCGCCGCCGCCGCCGCCGCCGCCGCCGCGCGCGATTGTCCTTCCGAACCGTCGCCCCACCCAGACACGCACCGCGGCGGAAGTAACGAACCTAGCAATATGCATCTTGACGCGGCGGAGCGAATGGCAGAGGCGACACCTCTTGCGGCAGACATGGCTCCAAGACGTCCCGGACGGCGTTCGCGTGTCGCACATCTTCGTGATGGGGGAGGACCGGAGCTACACCGCGGAGGAGAACGCTCGCCTTGCCGCCGAGTCGGAGGCGCACCGGGACATCCTGATCGCTCCCGTCGAGGAAGCCAGAGACACGGCGTCCGAGAGGACCAAACACTGCATCTACTGGACCACGGAGAACCACGACTTCGACCTCCTGGTCAAGGCCGACGACGACAGCACGCTGTTCCTGTCGCGCTTGTTCGGGCGCGGGGGCTGGCTCCCGCCGAAGGCGGTGGACCGCGAGGAGCTCCTGTACTTCGGCAAGCGGCACGCGTTGGCAAAGGTCGCTAACCCAGCCAACGTCCTCGACCCTCCGGCCGACCCGTCGGCTGGCCTGGTTTTCGGGGGAGCGATAGAAGAGGAAACTGAGACGGACGGCGTGTTCGAGTTCGACTACAGGGGGGTCTACTGGCCGGAGCACATGGAGGGCGGCATGTACGGCCTGTCCCGCGGCCTGGCGGAAGAGATCGTCAAGAACGACTTCCGCACCTACACGAACGAGGAGGCCACGGTCGGGGTCTGGGTCGCGGTATTCGACGCCAGGGCCAGGTACCTTGCGGACGAGCAGGTACTCTCCTGCGAGGCCGACTACCTCGCGAGCAACGGCACCGCCGTCGCGGCGTCCTTCCGCACCCGCCGCCTGCGGCAGGCGGCCATGTGGTGCGAGTACGCCCCCCTGGGCACCCTCTCCCGGAGGTCCATCCTGGCCAAGGACCTGCAGCAGACCCTGGACTGCCTCGGTTCCTACGAGAGGTCGTCGAATCCCCCCCGATCGCAGCCCCTCGGCGCCGGCGAGGATCACCAAGCGGCCACCCTCGAGTCCATCAATCGGAGGTGGCCGATCATGGCGCCGCCGAACCGGGAGGAAACGGGTCGGTGGTGGGCCCGGATGGGCGGAGCCTTTTACGGGAAGCCGGCGGCGATGGTGGGCACGAGCGCGACCGCGGTGGACCGCTTGCCGCTGTATCTTCTGCAAGGGATGCACACGCTGGTGATGGACGACTTCTTCCGGGTTTCGGAGCGGTACACGTGGTGGAAGCCCACCATGTACATGTGCGTTGACCCCGAGCTGTGCGCGTCGCGCGGAGGCGGTGGGGGCGGTGGAGGAAAGAAGGGACAGAGTCGAAGCGGCGCCGTCGCCAACAGTGTCGAGAGCGCCAACAGGTTCGCGAGGGACGTTTTCGCGGCCTTTTACGTCTTGAGTGGCGGCCCTGAGGGCGCCCAGTACTGGCAATACTTGCGGCAAAGGGTCAACGTCCACTGGTTTGATGCTGGGGTGGGGGAGGGCTGGGAGCAGGGGGGTGTTAAAGGTGGGAGGGTACCAGGAGGAGGAGCTGTCGCCGGGATGGGTCCGGCGGAAGGGGTGGCCGACGGATCGCCGGAACACTTCCGGGTCCTATCTCAGGCGTCAGGGCTTGCCATGGGCGTGGAGGTGCTCTCGTACCTGGGGTTTTCTCCGATTTACGTGGCCGCAGCGAAGGAGGAGCTGGGGGGGGCGGGGGGGGCGCAGGAGCTGGACGAATTTGGCCGGGCCGTCCGGCTTGCAGCGTTGAGGTACGGAGCGAGAGTTGTTTATCTTTCCGCCGATGACGACGACAAGCTTCCAGGTGGCAGGGTGAGCGCGACGTCGGTGAGGTCGGGCGGCGGGAATTTAGACGCGCAGGCGGGGGCGGGGGCGGAGGGGAAGCTGAGCGACCAGGAGGACATCCTGGCATGGGCCAAGAGAAGAAGCTACGCTCAGACGGCGAGGTGGGACCTCGACGTATTCCTGCAGCACTTTCCGGCCGTGAGTCGGCTGCAAGTCGTCCGCAGCGCCTCGACCGTGGAGGGCATGTTCCCGAAATCTCCCGTCTGTCGGGACGCCGATGACCTTGACCGGTTCCAGAAGGCTGTGCTCTGCCCCGTGAAGAAGTCGCTCAAGCATTTCTCGTCGTTTCTCACCTGGCATATTCCGTACGGGCCAGTGCGGGGCCTCTTCGTCTGGGTGAAGCGATAGGGGCGATGAAGGGTTGCACAGCAGTCGGTGGTGTGTGAAAATACTTTTTGGTGGTAGTTGAGCGTGTGCATATCTATTTACTGTAGTTGCGGTCGATCACGTCCTGTCAGAAAATATTGTTGTGTATTGATGTACTTGGAAGTGTATTGTTATTTACGTCCTTCCTCGCTCGTGAGAGCAAGGCGAAGGCTGTTTCAGGTGTTGACATGAAAGCGCTCAGATGCTGTTCTGTTCTGTATGTGTCATGCGCCAATCGCATGCCCCACAGAAACTGGCACTGCTGTACCACAGAGTGGGTGGTGCTTTATTTGGTGTTTAGTTGCGACGTATATTTATGTCGTGTTTCGACGTTTATTACGGGATGTGAGCATTGCATCAAGGGTAAGTCGCACCTGCTGTGTAATGACAAACCATTTGGGCAAACACAAAAACATCATACAACCATCCTTTCGTGTACATCACGATCATACGTTGCCCGCCGCGACGTAAAAAAAAAGTGCATTTTGCGCACACCCCTTGATGTTCGAGGGGTTTCGATGACGGGATGTGGTGACGCTGTAAGACAAGAGCTTCGTCCGTGCAAGGTGCGCCCGTGCTTTGTCGCGCGGAGGACCCCTCCACCCCCCGCATTTTGTGGCTTCAATCCGCGGGGCCCCTGTCGTTGCGATGCAAGATGCGACAGGCAAGCGCGATCATCCACGTGCCTAACAACCTCCCATTCTTTCACATGGTAAGGCCCCAGCACGCGCTCTGTCAGCCACCAAGCATCAGCAATGCCATGGTACGAGTTTCTTTCGTTTTTGTAGCCCTGGTGTCCGGTGGCATGGGCGTGGCGGCCCCGACTCATGCGAGCAGCGTGGATGGAGCTCTGCTGGATCCCCGCGGCGGCAGCAGCAGGCTTGACGCTCTCGCCAACGGCGGTGGCAAGTCTTCAGCCTCTGCTGCTGTGGCAACAGCAGTAGCAGCAGCAGCAGCAGACGACTTCTTGACTTTTTGCGTGAACTTCGACGAGCTGCCGGAGAAGCTGGGAGCGTCCCACGACTACAGGGTGGTGGCCGTAACCGGCTGCCAGTGCAGCGGCAAGAGCACGTTGCTGAACGCTCTCTTCGGCACCGGGTGAGCGGCACCGCATGCGGCGTGTCGACTAGACTACAGCTGTAGCAGACTGCTGTCACACGGATTCTACCATTGCACATAGGAGTTAACGGCCGTTGTGGTTGTTGATCCCACGGTTGGCTGATGCGGTCGTCATGGCCCACCGGTTTTGCGAACACACGAGCAGTAGTTGGCCCGTTGCGGGCTCACACGCGTCGCGCTCGCAGACCACACATGATCCCACAAGAGACGCCGATGCAGCAGCAGCAGCAGCAGCAGCAGCCCGCCACAGAGTGTTTCGACATGTTGTGAAGGGAGGTAGACCCAGTGGCCGTAGTACGTACTGTATATCGAGGAGTACAGGAACACATGGTTGGGCCATGTACTGCATCAGCGACCAACATCTCCGAAGCACCTCCGGCGAGGAACAACGGCAGTTGCCGCTCTCCTGTTCCTGTTGATCTTTCTCCCCGCTGCGAGAAAGCGAATTACCAACGGCTCGTTAGCTACTCTGGGCCGAGTGAGTGCCCTTAGCATGCACCACGTTGTAGCAGTGGAGTAGACTACATTAACCCAGGGCTCCAGCAGTCCTAGCCTTGAAACTTGAAACGACCACATGGGAAGTATGTATCTACCTACACGAGAGGACAATCATGTGTCGGTGACCGTTTTGAGCCGTCATCGTGTGTCACCCGACCACCTCGTTGTGGTGCCTTCCTTCTCTCCTTCCTTCTTTCCTTCCTTCGTTCCGATGGTTCGAGTGTGTGACAGCTTTACGTATGTTGCTTGGTCGAGACTCGCTTCACACGCGATCTTGAAACAGATCAAAAAGCGTATGCGAAACGACTAGTCTACAGGTACAGGTACTCTGCTGTGGATTTATCTCGCACGGGTAGTCTTTCGGTGATCGTACGCGTATTGGTACAGCAGTAGTTATGCCGACAAAAAGGCCGTCCACGAGGCGGAAAATAAGAACGTGCCGGCGGAGGCGGACGAACACTGTCAGTAGCGTAAGCTCGTATGGGCGGAAATGCGCGAGGATTACATTGCGAAATACGTAGTAGTGCCAATGCGGCCGTAGTCCGCAACGAGGAGCTGCGGAAGGCTGACCTACGTTGAGTTGCTTCAATAACTTGAGAAGCTTCAGCAGGCTTGAAGTAGCTACAGTTGGGTCGCAGACCACCGATGCCTTCTTCACGCACACACCGAACCAACTACCCAACACCTTCCTTCTAAACCTTCCCAGCATAACATACAGATAGATACACAAGGTGGCTACCAAACTGTCTTGTTGACCCTGTCACCCACGGGGGAGATACCACTGTGTGCTGCTCGGGAAATCGTGGAAAAACAGAACTTTCGCTGACGCTATGGATTCAATTCTAATCTATCTTAGAATCTTTTCTTCGATAGAGATGGATTCGTTGGGTCATACTGACAAATAAAAAAATATACATAACTGTGTGTATTTGTCTTTCTTTTGCGCAGTTTCCCCGTAATGGAGAACGCGGAGGATTCGCTCCCTCGGAGAACAACAATCGGGGCGTGGATAGACCTACAGCTATGCTCTCCCCCTAGGCGGAAGAGGCCCAAAAAGCCGAAAAATTCCTCTGCCAGCGCCAGCACACGGAAGGCAACGCGACTCAGTGGCACCAGCAGCAGCACCAGCAGTAGCAGTGGTGGCGGTAGCAGCAAGCAGCGTCCGAACGGCACCGCCGCCGCCGCCGCGGGATCGCGCTCCAAAGTCCGCACGAAGACCAAGAAGAAGAAGACTGAGGCTAAGAATACCGCAGCCAATCGAACGGGCGAAGCGCGCGGGACGGCCTCCTTGTCGTCTGCTGCCGCCGTTACCGGTGCTCGTGCTAGGATACACGAAAAACGCCTGCCGAAAGAAGGGGCTTCCGGCGGGGCAGCGACGGCAACGGCGGCGTCGGCGGCGGCGGTGCCTTCAGCAGCGCCAACGCCGTTCGTGCTGGTAGACGTGGAGGGCACGCAAAGTCGAGATCGTGGTGGTACCGACGGCATGGAGTTCGACAGCAGGTAAGCCTAACCTTGCAAGCGGCACTTGAGCTTGAAAACGACTTGTGCCTGGCTTTTGTCCTGGCCACATGGGTGCCTGACACTCGTTCGTGTTCCGGTAGACAGCGAGCACTACGACGTTTTCCTGTTCTCGTAGTGTATGCGTACAGCAGTGCGGTACAGGAGTAGAGAGCTGTGGTTGTGGACCATGGAGCAACACACGATTAGCAAGTAATGCTTCGAACTTAGGACCGTAGTTACTGATAGTGTCACACAGCAGCACTCTATCAGGCGCGTCAGTACTAGTCTCGCGACGCTTCCTCCTCTTGGTTGGACCTGACGTCCATTCGCATGGCACTCCCTGGACCCTTCCAAACACTGGCTCGACTCTTGTGTGCACAGAGCCACCTCTCCCATTCCCCCTGCATCAACGACACTACAGTATCCTCTTACCCCCCTCTGTCCCCCGGCCCTCTCACGACCGCCTCGTTATATCTCGGTCGGATAGTCTCTCTCTGGTTGTATCTATTCTTTCTGAAAACGCGGCCCCTCCCCTCACGCTCCCGTCTGCCACCCGAAAGGACTACTCTATTTGCCGTGATGGCTGCCGACGTGATCATGCTGAACCTGTGGGCGCACGACGTGGGGCGTGCCGACGGGCAGGCGTATTCCGTCCTGCGGTCGGTTTTCGAGGAGGCGGTGCGGCTGTACGAGGGGCAAGACGGTACGGGCGACGTTGGCAGTGACGGCCCTGGCCCGGGCACGGCAGGCCTGCTTGCGGGCAGGGAGGGGACGGGGGCGCAGGCGCGGTTTCCGAAGGTGGCGTGCGTGTGCTTGCCATGGTTTGGTCCTTGGTGTTGGGTTTGTTTTGCGTTCCCTTTGCGGCCGTGTGATGGGGCTGATGCCGTGACGTTGAGGGGTTCAGGGGCTGGGGGGGGGGGGGTATGCATATGTGCGTATTTCTCGTAGGAGGTTACCTTGCCCCCAACCCGATCAAGAGTATTTGACCAGCACTAAGGTTGAGTTGGGACCCATCCACTGACCGGGGAGTCCTGTAACGTACTTCGTTTCCATTTTTTGGAGCCCGTGAACGGCCACGATCGCGGGTTTCGAATCCCACCAATGGAGAGCGTTTGTTCCGTGAGAATTGCGAGCGTCGATCTTTGTTGGCTACAGGACTAGAGAACCGGGTCAATCCCGTCTCGCGATCAAGCTCTAAGGCGAGCGACGCAAAGGAAATCTTTCACGTGGCCACCAATCGTGGGTCCTCCTCGGTAGAAGGCAACAACGAATGACGGCTAGGTCTCGCGAGCGACGGCGGTAGTCTAGGCTTAGATGGGGTGCAGAAAAAGAGACGCGCTTTGAGGTATACTGCTGCCGTCTGCTCCTCATCCAGGTGCCTTTTGCTCATGCGACAATCCCCGAGGCCCACCGATCGCAATCTTGTGTGGGTGTAGTATGTGCGTGTGCGTGTTTTTAATGTTGTTAGCATCGACCGCGCAATTAGTAACCGGCTGACCAATGAAAAGATATTAATAACCGGCTGACCAATGAAAAGATATTAATAACCGGCTGACCAATGAAAAGACGTCAATCTCAGTGCGGTTGAAAACACAAAACACTTCTAAATGCCGTGAACTGTCTGTCTGTGTTTGCTCATTGCGTGTCTACCAAGCCGCGTCCTTGTTTTGTAACCCGCGTAACGACTCGGATGGGCTCGCCAGGTTCTGATGCTGGTGCTAAGGGACGTGGAAGAAGACGAGCACCTGGAAGCCCTGGACAAGGCCGCGAGGGCGAACTTGGAGGCGTTGTGGCGGGACGTCGACAAGCCGAGCAGGTGCGAGGTCGGCCCCAACGCTCTCTCGCCTCTAGCCTCACACTTGGCGTATGCAGCAGTGGGGGGCCCTCAGCAGTGTCTGCATGCGCCCGCCCCATTCACCGGCACGTCACTGTATATTTCAGAGAATGAGACAAGTTGGGTTTTGCATCCCTGTCACGCGACCTCACCGGCGCTACTGTACACCGAGCAGTGGCACCAATACTCAACCGGCACTATTTGAGGGACCCTCACCGTCCACCGTCTACTGGAACGGCTGCACTTGCCTGGCGTTGGTCAGATTGTTGTATGTTGTGTTCTTGTCGTCGTAACACCTACTATAAAACAATCGATCGCAGAGGGAGTGCAGGGAAACATCAAACACAGTCCCGTGTGGCCTTCTTTTTTCTCCTGTGTGACTGACCCCGACTGGTGCGCCCAGAGAATGGACCGAAAGATGAATAATCTGACTTCCAGACAAAATGGCACGATACACTAACGCACCCGTTGGACGACTGTCGTGTTTGTGTTTTCAGGGTGAACTTGGTGAGTTGCGGGGCCCCCGTAACCAGCATGGGTGCCTCTCGTTTGCATCTAGTCTGAGGCGCTCTCTTTATCTCTCTCTCTCTCTCTCTCTCTCTCTCTCTCTCTCTCTGGCCTCTAGCCTCTGTCCACATCCGCTAAGTCCCGCCTCTGCTTCCTTTGTCGATCTGTTGCGCTTCGCCTCATCTGCGTTCCCTGTCTCCATGCTGACCTGTGGCCTATTATAGCTTGCGTGACGCAGGGCTGTCGGAGGTGTTCGATGTCAGGACCTGCGGGCTGCCGCACTTCATCTATCAGCGACGCGAGTTCGCGGCTAAGGCTGCGACTCTCAGCCGATCGTTCCTCGACCCTACCTACCGAGGTGAGGAAAGGACGAAATCAGACGCACAGAGAGACGGAGCCTGGATACTGAAGTTGTCTCAACAACAGGAGTTGGCACGATGCCCCCTTGTCTATGAAGGCGCGGTTGGGCAAAGATGGCTGATTTCGAAGCTTCACACGCTATGTAGAAGTATCCAATCAGGACCCCCCCCCCCTCCTCCCGCGGGGTTGGGTTTTTCGTCGCTTGGTACCGACGTTGTAAAACAAGCTTCCCCCTTGGTGGTGTTTTCCATCGGGGTTGGGTTTTCGTCGCTGGCAACGACGTTGTGAAACAAGCCGATCACTTCGTGAACTCGGCAACCAGGTTACCGCGTTTTTTTTTATTATTGCCTCTTTTTTTTTGTTGCGATTACCATGATGGTGGTCGAGTAGATTATGTTGTGCGGGGTTGAGAAGCCTCACTCCGTGCAAGGGGGATGATCGCACCACGTTGTGTTAAATTGGTCAAGCACCCTCGAGGCAGTTACACAGTACTTATAACTGGCTCTGGAAGCGAACTACCATACGCAGCTGTCATCCGTACTCAAGGAAGTAAGCACAAGATGCCGAACATCCTTAGCAGGATGCAGCACACCCTTCATGCGACTCGCCGAATACCTCACGGCCCTTCGCGCTTGGTGATGTGAGAGCCTGGTTCGGTGAGAACCCGGCGTGCTCCGTCCCGGGTTTGTAGGGATGCGAGGTCAATGGTCTAACGAGTACGGCATGCACGACTATGAGTACCCCCCCCCCCCCCCCCCTCCGATGCTGATTTGACTGTTTGTTGAAAAATCCATGCGCGCGTTCTAGGGTTCATCTTTCGGAAGCCTCGGCGGCAAGCGGGGGTGGTGGGATGGGAGGGGGCTGTGCGGCAGCGTGCCGAAAACCCCGGCGGGCGGCATACGCTACATGCGCCGGTGCCCCTGTCACAGCTGCGACAGCGACTGGAGGGAATATGGACATCGGCGAGCAGCAACAACCGTCTTGCCGAGGTAAGATGACGAAAAATCGATGGCCACCTGCCACCACGTGTGTTGGAGGGTACGAAAGCTACCTCAAGTGTCGGGTGTCTGTCTCTGTGTTTCACCTCTCCCGTTTCCTCCACGGCGTGATTGTTGGGACGTGCCACCGCACAGCCTGGGCGCAGGGTATGGTTGCTTTTTGTTGTTCCATGTGGAGGAACTTTTCCTTTTTATTTGTGGTGGGTGACCAGTACAGCAGTACAACAACCGTGCGAAAGGGTGAACCCGCCCCCCCCCCGGCCGTCATTGTGACCCACACACGCACATCTTTAAACTGTATGGGGTTGGGCAAGTTGGTCATTAACTACGGTCAATTGCACGACAGCGAGTACCCCCCCCCCCCCCCCCCCTCTCTCTGGAGGACGCGTGGCCAATGGTCTTAACAGCTAAGGCATACTTCTACAAAACATGAGTACGCCCCCGCCCTCCCGCGTAGTAAAATATGGTGCAAAGAGTGGTACGAACGCGACAAAGACCGGGGCATTTGGCGTTTGTCCCTACTAGGAGTGTAAACGGCGCTCGGTATCGAAAGGGATGCCTCGTCGTCGCCGACGATGATCACACGACCAGACCAGATCCAGATCCGAATCCCCCCCCCCCTGCGGCAACAATGCTCCGTCCTCTCGAGGACGCCAGTGGTCTAACCGCTAAAGCATGCGAAACACGAGAGTACACACCCACACACACACACCCTTCCTTGCGGGGCCCCTTCTCTTTCAGGCTCCTCGTCGAGGCGAGCAGCAGGGAGCCGTGGCCTTGTCGGCGTTGGCGGAGTCCTGCCTGTCGGAAGCGCGTCCGAGGTGCGCGAGGCTGCTGACCGACGTGGAGGCGGCGGTGGCGGGAGAGATGCCGCTGCTACAGTTCGGTACCGACGCGCAGGGTGAGTGGGCGAGGAGCCCCGGCAGGGGGGGCAGGCTGCAAGCGTTGCTGTTCCGCTTCTCCCTGTTTTTGCACGCCTCCTCAGATCGGACTCTCCTTGAAACCACCGCTGTTTTGCGCCGAGGGGTTCGATCTCTCGGACCCCTCCTCTGTTCGTGTTTTTGGTCGTGATGTTTTGTTCACATTGAAACTCGTGATGCTTTGTTTCATGTCGATCCACTCCTGTTCTTCTGTCTGGCGCTGAACTCAATCTATCGAACCACCTCTGTTTCTTTATCGTGATGTTTTGTTTTGATTGAACCACCTCTGTTCGGTTGGTCATGGTGTTTCGCCTTGTCCCGCGCTGTGTTGCGTTGTGCAGAGATCGTAGACGAGGCTGTGCAATCATTCCTGGCAAAGTCTTCCAGATCACAGGTGAGCTAAACTGTGGCGCGGTAAAAGTGTTACCTGGCTTTACAGAACTTGCGCGCGCGTCCCAAAAACTTTTCCTCTGCGCGTTCTCGTTGTTGAGGGTTTGATTTGAATGCCGCAGCACATGAGCAGGGTTGGTTCCCAGTTGTGCTGAACATCGGTGCCACCTTTGGAGGGATAAAGGAGTGTAGTTGCTATTCGTATTCGCTGCCGGTGGATGCAAGCATGAGTGATGTGCCCAGAGGACGTCGAGGCCTTCATGCGACTGGCGCTGCTGCTGCTCTCCTTTGTTTTCTACGTGGATTGCATATGTTTTTATTCGTGTGTTTTGTTTTTTATTGTAGGCGTCTCGTCCTGTCCAGTCCAGTCGAGTCGAATTTAATCCGCCGTTCGCGGCAGCCGCAGATCGATGCCCCCGCGGCGGTGCTCCGGGAGAAACGCGGATCGTTGGTGTCGGCGGTGGCGAGAGAGCTGGAGCCGGCCTTCAGGGCGCACGCGAGGCATTTACGGTGAGGCCCCTTCAATCGCGGCAGCATGTGTTGAGAAGAGGGGGTAGAGCTGTGCCAGTTGGTAGGTTTTAGTAAAAGAGGATGCCGTCGAGTTTCGTCCGTTTTCGTAGGATATACAGGCGTATCTGAAACGCCGGAATTGGCACCGAAGCTCAACTTTCGTGAAACTTCGGACAGGTTTAGTGTTGGGGGTGACAAAACACTTGTTGGTAGACGAGAGAGTAAAGAGGTAAAGAGTGTGGCACTACTCAGACAATGACATGGCATCATGGCATCCTGTCCGTTGCCGTCCTGGTTCCTTATGAAACGAATGCAACCGGCACGAAAAATACAATATCAGCAACAACGACACTTGGTGCTTATGAAAGCAATGCAACCAAACACGAAAAATAACAACGCTTGCTATTTATCCTCCAGAGGCCACTTTCACGAGCAGTTCGAGGAGGTGTTTTCCTGCGTGCTGGGGGGAGCGGCGGACTTCGACCAATCGTCTCGACGGATGTCCAAGACCATTAGACAAAATTTCCTCGAGGCCACGAAGGTATTGGGACAGACGAGAGAATATTGATAGACAGAGAGAATATTGATATATATATAGAGAGAGAAAGAGAGAGCAAAAGAGAGCATTCCCATTTTCTTTTTCTGCCGGCGTTGATGATGTGATTTCCTTCGCTTGGCCATGCTTATACGGTTTTTCGGTTTTCCCAGCCCCATGATGGCCACGAGGTAGGTGGAAAGGCTTTCGTACTTACTTCTCTCGTTTCGGCTCGCTACAGCTTGTTCGAGAGACGCGGGGGTAGAGGCGAAACTAAACACTTGTACGTACCTCTCGCGCTTAGTAGGGATTGGAGATCAGTTGTTGTGCTTGCATACCTATCGTGCTTAGAAGGGCTTCGTACATACCTCTCGCGCTTTCCCCGGCAGTCAGTTTTTCTCCCGTCGTTGGTGCAGATTCTGTGCTAGTGTTGAGTAGTCGGCGGCATAGTCTCCTATCACTATCTCTGTTTTTGTCCCGCGCTTCTGCTATGCGGGAATGGTTTTGCCGCCGCAGCTTGTCCGACCTCTCTCCCGTGGTTATTGTTTCCGCTGGTTTCGTTATCGTCACCAATGTCGTGTCATGCAGCTAGCGATTCCGAACACACCCGGAGTGGCGGACGTGTGGCGTTTGCACTGGGAGGCGGAGCTGGTCAAGCTTAACGAGGACATGGAGGTGAGACTGGGCGACAGGACATGCGCGCTTGGACACGACGGAAGGGTTGTTGAAATCCTTGTCGCTAGTGGAATTGTAATAACACTATTTCACGCCCTCTGCTGCGTTGCGATTGTGCCTCTCCATGTGCGTCGTGTTAGCAAAAGGCTGTATTTTCGCTACAGGGATGTGTCTCTGCCTGGGAGGGATTACTTTAGGCCACGTGTCCTCAACTGATCCGTGGTTATTTGCTCGCAAGCGCCTTTGCCTTTGATCCTTGAGAGGATTCTCCTGATGTTGCATTTTTGCAGTATGTGATCCTTGAGAGGATTCTCCTGCTGTTGCATTTTTGCAGTATGTGGTACTCGGTACTGTTGATGAAAAAGGTCGTTCCGTCTTGGTTTTGCAACAAGCTCTCGCAAAGCCTCATGTGTCCAGGCCGCAACAACACCTAGACAGCACATTACACCGTGACAGCTGGAAGTGGCCTACAGACTCCCCCCGCGTGCGGCCTTCTGACACCGTGCGTGTCGTTTGGTACAGCAACCAAGCGTTCCTTGTAACCCAATCCTGACAGGAGCTTCGCTGTCCAAGAGAGGTAGCGGTACATGCAAGTTCGTGGGTAGGAGCATCATTTTCACGCGTTTCTCGCCTGCGTCTCCCCCTGCCACCTTCGTCCCCCCCCGGCTTCCTCGCGACCGGGCGGGCCGGCGGCCCCCCGTGCCTCTCTCATGTAATGTAATGTAATGTAGAGCCGTGTGCAAGATCGTCTGTCGGAGGGCACGTGGATGTTGCCGTCGGACCCGGCAGAGCAGGCAGCGGCGGCGAGGAAGAAGACGCCGTGGTGGAAAGGGTGAGGGAGGAGAAAGTAAAAATGTGGCGTCTCTTGTCTCGAGTCCGACAATCAGAGCGATCGATTCACACCCCCACAACCGTCTGTGTACCTACTGGCGAGCGAATGGATTTCATTGGCCAAGGATTGGAGACAGCAGGAGGAGGAGTTGCAACACTAAAGAAGAGGCCGTCTTGTATGTGACGCGGGAGGGGTTTGCGCTCTCCGTGGACACTGGCACACGAGTACCCCGCACAGAGGAACCCGTTTGACTGTCCTACGTGTTGTATCGTTCGACGAACCATGCACCGCGCGTAGAGCCCATTCGTCTTCAACATCAATAGATACATACCAATCCTGCAACAGCGTTCCATGGCTTCGCCGAAATTTCTCCCCAAGCACGGAGTATTGCTTTCGAGTGATCACGTTTGTGTAAGCACAATAGCAAGTACATACGCGTATACGACGGCGAATGAACCCACAGGGCCCCTTTCTCACCCATGTTCAAATATTTTTGTGCTCGAGGAATATATGCGTAGCCATGGCCGTGCCTACACCGCCCCATGTACAGGTGCAGGATAGTGCACGGCGGCAGTTTAATGTGCGTTGACGCCTAGCCCCAACTCCCAACGTTTTCGTGATTGCATGACGTCCACGCTCTATCCCTTGTTGCACGCATAAGCTGGCGGGTCTCTAGCCCGGTTTTAGCGATGAACTCCAAAGCCATTTAGTAGTTCCTAACCGCAGCACGCTCGCGGCTGCTCCATGCAATAGAAAACGTGCTCCAAAACAGAAGTATGCTACAGACGATTACGCGCCCGAGGCCGAGGTCTATGGTCTAACGAGTACGGCATGCTTTTACATGACTCCCCCCCCCCCCCCGCGGCCATAATGAATGGCCCCCGCCCCTTAACGCCATGTACCACACCATTGCAGGTTGGTGCTAAGGGCGGCGGCGATGTACTTCAACTACCTCCAGGCGACGCAGCACTTGCGGAGGGCGAAGAAAGGCCTCGGAGAGAAGAGAGAGGGACGTGCCGCGCCTTCCGCTCTTCTAGACTTGGCTGTCTTTTTGTCTCTTGTATGTTGTCTTTTGTCTGTGCTGCTGCGGAGTAAGAGCAGCATCCCGAGGCTGAATCAAGACGAGACACGGAACACACGGCTGTGCTGTATGGCGTAATCTCGACACGATTTCTGTATAAGGCCTTACCCGACACCTCTTGTCTGTTGTCGGGTGAACATTTTCTTCTTGTTCCACGCAAAGCCATCTTTTTTGGTTTCTCGAGAGCCATGCTGAGAGATTTGTAGCTCTCCCGCCGTATTCTGTCTGCTCGTTGGAGGTGTCGCCCGTGTGGTCTCTTGCCAGCCAGTGCGCTGTGTCCGTGGGAAGGCGCGAGTAGTTACGAGCGTTCGGCAGGGGGTAGGGCGGGGTTCCTCCAGGCGTTCAAGACAAGATTGATGATGGCATCTAATCTGGATGGATGTTTGGTGTGTGTCGTTTAGTTATTGTAGTGTCCTGTACGTTTCGCCGCGGTGTGTTGGCATACATATGCACCTACTTCTCAAAACTTGGAGATGGGGAAGGCTCTTGGCGTGGGATTTAACCAACCCTTGGTAGATACCATATTTTTGGGTGTCTGGCTGTATTTTTCGTGTCAAAAATATTGTTGGAGAAGCGCGTCCTTCCGAATGATCGCGGCCACGATTCTCGAAGGCTTTCGTGTGGCCCCACATCCGTACGATTTGGCTCCGCAAAAACCTTCAAAACCACAAGGCATCCCGCCACCTGACCTTCTTCGACTTTGGTTGTTGAAGGCGTATTTCCGGAGTCAATGCAAAGCATCTTGCTCATCATGCGGACAAGAAGACTGCAGTTTGCACCCGAACTTGAGAAACCCGGGAGTTAAGAAATTCAGGCTCGAAGAGATAAATTTGAACTTGGTCAGGTGCTCAGCCAAGAAGCTCACAGTAAGGAGTGTACAGGCACCGTGGGGCTCTATCCAATAGAGAATTAAGAAACGAGAATCGGCCAAAAATAAGAGGTTCTGTTATGCATACGTGCGGGTGCTATATAACTGAAAAGCTGCAGTGGTGTGCAGCTCTCTACGACACTTGTCGGAACTCGGCGAGCTGAGCATGACCACCGGTTGTGCCGCGTGCTCGCAGGTTATCCATCCACAGACCCCACAACACAAGACGCCTGCCGTGCCCACGAAGAAGTCTGATTCGAAACAACCCTGAAAGTTGTGACTTGTGTCAGCAACCACTTGCTGTCGGCTCACACTCTTTTCAAGCACTGACGACGACGTGAACACGAACGTTTAATTTTTGTATATACCCATCAACACGGCAGCGTGATCGCCGATCCTAAATTTTGATTGCCAATCCTGACTCTTCTTACATCGCCACTACCTTCCCTGACCGCACATTGCCGGGAATACAAATCAAATCTACCAACTGAACGTCTTCGATGGAAGGGCGAAACAGCCAGATGCAAACATCAAATTATTCTGTATCGAGATAAAAAAATCTTTTCGAAAAACAACTGGGTACGCATGCAAATTATCTCGCATGGGTTTTCATCTCTTTTCTTGATGCTATAATATGTGTATTTTCTTCAAAACGTCAGCAACACAATAAATCGAAACTAACCGACAACCCAAATACATGAGTCCTGCAATCAGTATTAAAACCACTCGAACGACTCTACGAACGGTCTGTTGAAAACAGCCCCCAACACAAAGTCTACAAAAGACATGAAGCATACTCCGGATGCATGTATATCTGGCGTACGGTACATCTTTTGTCCCCCGGTGGTGCGGCGTCATTGAAATACAGACAGCGCGTAAGAACCTCTACCTTTGGCCGGGGCGGGGCGGGGGTATTTAGTTCCTATTGTGGGCGACAAAAGGTCGCTATGTACGTTTTATTGTTGGCTTCTTAACCGAGCTTACAACAAATGGGGCCTCGATTTTGGGACAATGTAGTGTAGAGCACCAAGTTCTTACTACCAAGTACCAAGTTTCCTTGAGTGAGGGCGCTATCCGTCATCAGTAGTCCTCGTCGTAGTCTCCCCCTCTCGCGCCGATGACAAGGTCCTTGAGGGACAGCCCCACGAGGGTACAGGCAGCGCTGGCGGTGATGACGGCACCGGCCTTCGCTACGCCTTGCTGTGTCCGGATCAAGCCCGGCTCCACACGGCCCTGTTTTAATATTTTTTCGGGCACGGAGCGAATCGCCGTGAAAAAACAAGCAGGGCGAGAAACGAGGGGATGAGACAGACGAATCAGGTTACATAGACATTGGGTGTACAGGGTCATGACAAACGCCGTTACTTTGGTCTCGGGGTTAGGCCACGGGCGGAGAAAGAAAAAAATAAAGACCAGGCGAACGCCAGGATAAAAAAATACATCTTCCTAGTTTTTTGTACACACAGCAGCAGCGGTAGACATCTGGCGACATGACGGATGATATTCCGAGGAAATTTTGCCCAAGAATGATCCGCCGAATGCTGCGAACAGTCCGATGATATACTGACTCCGGGGAGTGAGGCGCGCGAGATCTCTTCACTCTCCACCCTATCTTAACCCTAGGCTGTGTGAGTACCCACGGGCACGCTTGGCACTTGTCGCCCAACACATTACGAGATAAAACGACCCTCCGTTGGCGGACGGTTACACCACCGCTCCCTTTGAGGTACTCTGGTTCGCTAGAGAGAGAAAGAGAGGGTGTTTCTCGATTGGGCGACACACAGATAGACAGTCATGTCCGCATTTGAGCGCACCATCACGACGCGAATGGATGCAGTTCACAAACACTTACGAACGAATGAATAAAAAAATACACAGCAGTCTTTCATCCGGAGAGTAGCTTGGCCTCCCCCATGACGCCCCCTCACGGGGTCCCAGATGATGGCCTTTAGAAGCATTCTCTGTTTTCAGTCGCAGCAAGGAGGAAGTCTTGCTCATTGGTCAACCGGGTAGCGCGGTCGGTGCGAATCCAAAAAACACACACACACACGGCCCAAGCAAATACCACAACCGTTGAATAACGTCAACAAAACAACGAGCAATCAACGAACAAATATAGGTACCCACCCGGAGCTCGTCCCATCCTGCGGGGCTCCCCACAGCCCAGAGGGCCCACGCGACGACGGCCGCGTAGATGGGGTCCTCTCGGAGGAGGGTTATCGCGACCCCCAGCGCCACCGCCGCAACCACGGAGCCCAGAGCCAAGCCCAGCTTGACCCGGTTCGACAGCTTGTTTATCGTGGCGAAGTAGCCGTTCAGGTTTACCAACGTGGCGCATGATATCCAGCCCAAGTGGAGGCTGACGCACGTCGGTGTAGAAAGCGCGCGGAGGCGGGGGGGTTGAGTGTCATCACTGAACGAAGGACAGCTGCTGATAGAAAAAGCAGTAGTGCTACTGCTGTAACTGGCCTCCACGGCAGCAAACCCGCCGTTTGACGAAAAACAGCACTGACAGCACTGATTCTCGTCACAAGTGGACTGAGACAGATACAGACAGACCGGCGAGAGAAAATAACGGTAACATGCCTGGATAAGGCAAAGAAGGTATAATCGATAAACACACATAAAATAAGATACCCTAGAAATACATGGTACAGACATATCAAGAGACACATGGACCTTGTAGGCGCACTGACAAGGACGTTTCCCTGCTGAGAGCTACTTGTAATCTATGTTCGTTGATCAGAACCGGTTGCGGCGGTTCACCCTGGCCAGAAACTCGACAACCGTAAGACAAACACACAAGACACATGGCCAAAAGGTAGGCGAAAAGACACGTGCGGCTGCATACGCAAGACGGAGGAGAAAACGAGATGCGCAAACTCACAGCCACAGAAGTAGTAATTTTCACAGCGAATATACACACGCAGACAGACGCAGACATGGTACACACAAACACGGCCGACGTACCACTACATACATACCTGAGGGGGACGTGGACCGCGAGGTACTGGAGGACGGTCATGTCGCTGGTGAACCACGCCTCTCTGAGGATGCGGTGCACGCCGCCGAGGGCGACTCCCGTGCCCCCCAGCAGCAGCGCCGGCAGCCAGAGCAGCCCGCTGTCCCTCGCCCACGGTCGAAAGGAGAAGCACCAGAGAGCCTGAGCCGTCGGCGTTTGGATTACGGGTTGGGGGCAAACGGGGTGCAAACGGGTTGGAATAACGGGTTTGGGGCAAACGGGGGAGGTACTCATGGCCGTGCGTACCGTAGTCGTTAGAACGTTGACCTCGAATCCCTACAAAAAGCGGGACGGAGATAGCACGCCGGGCATTCACCGCACCAAGCTGTAGCACAACACCAAGTGGGGGAGGGGGGGGGGGGTGTACTCATAGTCGTGCATGCCGTAGTCGTTAGACCATTGACCTCGCGACCTCGCCAAGTGGGGGAGGGGGGGGGTAAACGGGCAAAGCGTTGCGAGGAGGCGGATATTGCATAGATTTGCATTTGTGTATGTGTGTGTAGTGTTAGCATCGACCACGCTAACCGGCTGACCAATGAAAATACGTCAGTCTTAGTGCGGTTGAAAACACTAAACACTTCTATCTGCCATGAACTGGGACCCCGTGAGGGGGCAGCATGGGGGGGGCTAAACTATCCTTCGGATCAAAGACATGTGTGTGTGTGTGTGTGTGTGTGTGTTTGTGTGTTTTCGTCTCGCGTATATTCAACGCAAAACTTGAAGTAAGTGTTTCGACTGCGGCATGGACAGGCGGTAGATTGGGGGCGCGCGGGCTACAACATAAAAAAGGGTCTCCCTCGCAAAGGAAAATAAGAACACAAAAGGTTCACGGTTGCCTCCCTGCACTGCTGCTGCTGCTGCTTCTGCTGTGGCGAGTTTCTACATACTACAAAGGCAATAAAGGAGATATGGGGATCCTCTCGCTATCTATTCTATTCTTCGTGTGTCTTGAACAGCAAACGGTCGCGAGTTTTCACCTGGAAGAGCATGGCGCCAGCGAACCAAGGGCTTATGTCGGACAGCCACCACGATCCGCGGATAGAGGGCAGGGGCATCAGCTGGAAGGCCACGTATATCGCTTCGCCTGACGCCAGGAGGGAGGGAGCCCAGCCGCGACCCAGGGTGGGGGTGGGGGTGGGGAGGGGGTAGTGGATTCAGTCGTTCACCGGGAGGAGTGCGGCATACGGTGAACGTACTTGAGTAGTGATTTTTCCTGCTCGGCATACACAATGGATCGAACGACGTATGTAGAACAAGCACACTTCGAATAACAGCCGCCGCACGTTACCGCCAGTGTTGCAGCATCACAAACTTGTCACTCTCCCTCGATCTCGATCCCCCCTGCCCATCCTCACCTCCTCCGTCCCAAAGACGGTGGCCTCTGTCACAAAGACGGTGGCTCCCAGAAGCAACCCCTTCCCCAACAACAATCCCCCCCTCCCCCCCAAGAGAGTACTACAGCAGCGGTACCCCGTCCCTACCCCTCTTCCCACATACCGTGGTGTAGTCAACACTCCCTCTTCCCTCATACCGTGTTGTGTGGTGAACACTCACCGAAGAATATGGGTCCCCAGATGGCGAACGCCCACCCTGCCGGCGACAAGAACCTGACAGGACGGGTCCCCGAGCTCCCGCTTTGCCCGATGCCGTCCAGCCGCCCGCCGCCGAACGTGGCCCGCATGTTCAACGCCCACGCGGACGCAGCGAGCACCTTAGACAGAAGAGACAGGAGGAGGAGCCCCCCAGTGCGCGCGCGCGCGAGAGAGAGAGAGCGGGTTGTTGTCTTTACGATTTTAAGAACCATTCCGGTCTCCGCTCAGTACCTTCTGATATTCGTGCTTGGTCCAACTGACTGAAGCGGACGCCTTGCGTGGTCACAAGCCAAATGCCCAAAGCGTGTGGGTGTTTTATAACTAGCATTGACCGCGCTAACCGCTTGACCAATCAAAAGACGTCAGTCTCGGTGAGGTTGAAAACGCACAATGCACGCGTGTGTGGGGTTTAATTATATTGGGATTGGCAGCACTAACCGGCTCAACAACGAAAACACGTCAGTGTCGGCCAGTAAAAATCAAGGTGCCCCGGCAAGGGACCAGCGTTCTAAGAGGAGAGGCGTCGCCCAGAATGCCTACAGTAGTTATCTCTACAAACCCTTTGCGAGAAAAACACGCTAGCTAGAGTTCTGCGCGAATCCTCGTCCGAACCCAAGAAGCCACTGATGCAACGAGCGGAGGACAGCAGAAGGGTTGATCCAAGCCGTTGGCGGAGGTTCGGGCCATCCCTCCTCTAGACCGCCTGTCCACTTCTCCATCGAGTTCAGCTACAAGCGACGCAATCCAACAGGCCTTCTTCGCCTTACGCCCGATACGCGTAAACACCGCTTTATAGGAAATACTACATAAAAACACATAAAAATACTACCCCGAGATATCACCACAATCGAAGGGGATGAGTTGAAATCGTTACAGTGAGTGGCAGGAAAACCGGCTGGACACTTGGCCTACCGTATATGACACAAGATAACACACCCCCTGGACCGATTTTCAAAGCTCGATTTTTCAACAGCAGCAACAGTCGCAGGGCCGAAAACGGCGGCGTTGAAGCCGTCTGGTCGAGAGCTCTCTGAAAACGCATCCTTTCGTCTATGCATCCTCTTCATCGTGGAGTAGTTGAGCTTTGAAAATCGGTCCAGGGGGTGTGTTATCTTGTGTCATATACGATATTTTCTAGAAGTACGCTTACCTGCCAAGGGTCAACCAGGGTGATCGGCCATGCCGCGCGCAGCAGGTTGTTGGTGGTGAGGGCGTGAAGGCCTCCGCTCCCGAGCGCCGCGATGACAATGATTAACAGGGACCGAAGGTAGGCCTGTTCGGGAGGCGGCACGGAGGACCGGCAGCAGCAGCGGCGGCGGCGGCGGCGGCGGCAACAGCAGTTGTAGGAGAGCAATACCAGGAGCATGTAGCAGAGCCCAGTGCCGGGAAGAGAACAGTGGAGCGGCGGCGGCGGCGGCGGCAGCAACAGCGGTGGTAGCAGTAGGAGCAGCTCAACAACAGTAGCACGCCAGCATTACACCACGGAATGTCAGGAGGGCAGAGGGAAAGGAGCTGGTTCAAGGCTCTCGAAAACCGAGAAAGGAGAGATGTGGGGATGTGCTGATTGTACATGGAGGCTAGCGGTGAGGGCGGTGAGGGCACACACGGCTCCGCAGACACCACACCTGGGGGGGAGGGAGGCGAGCGCAATGGCCGGTCATGAGTGTCAATTGTTGCCCTACCAAGGTTAACACACGGCAACCACTGCTGTGTTCCCGTTAGCGCCGCCAAGCTGCCGTTTTTCCAGTACGTGGTCGACGACAGCTCAACCGAGGGCCAATCGCCACTGGAATATGCAAAGGTCTACGGGCCTTATCACAAATACAAACACATCCTAGCACCTCAAGGAATATGCATAGCGTCCAACCGCACTGTTGCGTACGAAGTTTGTGTAGCCGTCCCAGCTGTTCTGGGCACCAGCGTTATGATACACTTTGCGGTGTATGTTTGACGCGCCAGCCGGGGTGACCCAGCAGAAACCGTACACCCTCGATTTTTTCTTGTCTCCGCCTTTCCCCCCCGCGGTGCCTGACCCCATTACTTATCGCGAAAAGGGTGTAGCAGTGCCCTCCCTTAGCTGCGCGCTTCACACACTTTACGCCGACGAACATAGCCGGGCAACAGCCAGCGAGAGTTCCTAGTATAGACGCCACGGGACCGTCACCCTCACCATTCAACGACAACAACACACGCCCAGCCGAACCGGCAGAGAGCACAGAGACGTGTACACACAGGCGAAAAAAGGTCAACGCCAACCACGGTGGTAACACGCCGTCTCGACGCATCCCCACTCACGTTGTCGGGGACCAGCTTCCCTAAGACGCCGCCAACGACACCGGCAACCCCTCCGCCGCCTCTGCTGGCCGCCGGAGGGCCACTCCTTTTGGTCGGCGCGGGCTTAGGCTTCGGTTTTGCCTTGGGTTTCGGCGCAGTAGGCGTTTTCTTCTTCTGCACGGCTTGGGACGGCGGTTTCGCCTTTTTTGCCGCCGCGGGTTTGGCTTTTACTGCCGCTGGCGCCCTGCTGCTGCCGCCGTCGGTGTTGTACTTGCCGGAGAGGAATACGATGGGAAGGGCGAGGAGGGCAGCCCATCCCGTGGGGCTGCCGGATGGGGGGAAGCGAGGCAAGCGAGAGAGAACCGCGACCAAAAAAGCGGTAAGGAAGCAGAAGAGGTGCAAGGGTTGATAAGGCATACGACAAGAGAGGTGGGGGAGCATGATGCCTGAGGAGAAGGCGCGGTGCCACGTGAAGATGAGTGAGACAGGGGGCGAGGTGGTGACACGAACCCCACAAGAGACGAAATGACAGGCAGGGCGTGGACAACACCAACTAGAAGCGAGCAACCGGCACTATTCACCGATCAGCCGGTCAGCATGGCCGATACACTGCCAAGGGAGAGAGAATACACCCACCCACGTCTTTCCTTGAACAGTCGGTTAGCGCACCCAATGCTATCAATAAAGACACAGATGCACATACTCGAACACCGTAACCTACTGGGGGGAAAGGGCGAGCGGAGGGGCGGGGGGGGGGCGGTAGGCAGCGATTGCCATGTCGCACTACAGCGAGGTGTATGCTACGATGCCGTCAGGGCTTGCCGCCTTGCGAATCTGCAGAGCGAGGGCTACTCCCGACGTTGAAAAAACGTGTTGAATCCTTCCTGTCACCAATCGAAGCGCAAGCTAGTTCGGCATGGCTTTCACCACGGCCAGGCACTAACAAACAAACGAACGACGTAATCACGTGCCCCGCGTGCGCGGTTGATTGGGCCATCAACTCCGAGAGACAGATAACAACGGAGCACAGTGGGTTACATTCTCTTCGCCGTCCTCTCAATTCTTAAACCCCCACCCTCCAAGCCACCGGATTTGCACAGCAAACGCAAGGATGATGACACTACCAGCTTCTGCTCCATCCTTGTGAAACGTAGCCTGGCCCGGCGAAAACCCGGCATATCGCTCCGTCCCCAACATTGTAGGGATGCGAGGTCTATGGTATAGACGACTACGGCATGCGTACACCCTTCCCCTCCAAGCCACCTGAGATCTGCCGTTGCTGACGATGACGATGGCGATGATAAGCCAGCCCTCGCCGAGCTTCTTGTTCTTGCCGCTACTGCAGACCCTGCGGTCCTCTTCTTGTTTGCCGACCCCCCCCCCCCACCAGCAGCACGAACCTGCTTCTTTTGTTTCTTTCGGCCGGGTAGCCGAAAGAGGCACACGAATAAAAGCAACACGCCGAAACGAGGAAAATGAGCTGCGCACTCGGGAGCAAGCCGGCCTTTATGACAATCAAAGAAAACAGGATGACGCCTCGCTTGAAACACGATTGGCGACACTTTGGCGACGACGACAGAGAAGACCAACAGCAACGACAACCGCTACACAAACCGACCGCACGAGCCGTAGGCCAGACAGAAAAACTGTCAAGTTACTATATAGTTCCTTGCCTTCGTGGATCTTCACATCTAACGCGAAAAAAACGCACGCTGGCTTCTCAGAGCCGACAGAGAAGCCGACAACAGCCGTAGAAAAATGATACACCACTAGGATGAGTCGCGGCTCGAATCATCTCCAGAGAAGAGATTACTCCCGTGCCCTCGCTTCCCATACCATGAGGGCGATCTGTAGGCGTTTCCAAAACGTCGTCAAACTACAGCGAGGGGACCCGAACCAAAACCGAGGGTGTGACCGCGAGCTTACCGCCTTGTTCTTGCCGTCTGTCCACCACGGCTGGCTCTGGTCTTGGAGGGTGGACAAGTAGTCGGTAGGCCCTTGATTCTGGTCAGATTCAATACGAAATATTGCCGACGTGTGCACCGTGGAAGACGGGCGACAAGTGGGTGGGTGGTTAGAAAAAACCTTTAAAGTATTTTTGTTCCGGCGGTCCAAGAAGGTGGGTTTTTCCTAAGAATCACGGCACAGCCGTCGATAGCATATGAGGAGAGGCCAACCGCCCTCAGGTGTAGCGTCTGAGCGGCGAAAAACCATCATCTTAGTTGGTACGTATCGTAGATGAAGACATGATACTGTTTGATCTGCAAGTGTATTGGTTTGTCACTTGCGTTTAGCGCCACGGAAACCCTGCACCCATCGTGTTTCCTTCGACAGCCAGCCTGCGGTAGTGCTGGACCACAAGAAAGGTGATAAGACTATTGTATAGATACAGGTGTGACGACACAAAACACCAATTCAAGGGGGGCGGTCTGGAGTAAATACGGCTCGACCCTCGTTGGAAGCAAGCGTTTCTGTGAGACGAGGCGTGCAGCTTGCCGCTGCGTAGCTAGACACAATGGCATCCGCCTCCATATAGACAGCATACACGGCCATTTTATCTCGTGCAAACACCAGAACCACAGCAAATTAGTACCGCAGCCAACACAAGTGATGCTCGTACCCCGCGGAGATTCAGAAGTCCCAAACTCTTCTGAAGTGTAGGAGTCTGGAGACAGAACTACGAGGGGCACAAGACAGCCGTGGGGTTCACCGCAGTAGGGGAAAGAGAAGCACAACTAATACATAGAACGTTTGGAAGTAATCGAACTCCTTTCTTCATATTTCGGAATGGCGTGTGTTTGCGGAAAGCCAAGAGCTTCGACCAGCTCCGCGAAGAGCGATACTGACGGCCGACCAGGCTTGACGTTCAAGGTTTTCAAATATATATCTTCCCCGAGCTGTGCATACATTTGGTAGCGAAAAGTTCATAGAGTGATATACGTTGTTGCACACTATAATCGTGTGACCACCAATGGGTCTGATTTGTGGGAGGGGGTTCCGAGAGCTCCGATCGGTTGGATTACTCTCGATAGAGGTCTGTCTGGTGTTGAGCGTCGGCAAAAATAAAACTACACACATAGGAGGTAGCTCTCAGCCTGGTCGCTTGCGTCGTGTTCGCACAGACAGCACTACGACCCCCCCAACGTTCCAGTGCCCGGGCAGTAGCACGGTAACAGCCTCATACAGCGTAGCACGGCAGCAGCCTCAACGTAGCGCTGCCTTGACGCAGGCGGCAGCAGGACTGCGTGTGAGTGCCTCTGACCAAACCCTATTCCTTTGCAGGTCTATGCACTGTTGTACCCCACTCAACATACGAGGGGTTCCCTCCTGCCTCACTGTCCTACCCCTCTACTACAAGAGAGAGAGAGAGAGAGAGAGAGAGAGGCGTCCTTTTTTTTCTGTGGTGGCGTGCTTGACGGCATCTCGCCTTGTGAGAAACATCGCTGGGGCAACGAAACATCGTTGGCCTGCTGCCCTTTGCACTACTGAAGGTCATCACCTTCCTCCCTCTCTCACGAATATTTCTCTGCATCTTATTGTTGTGCACCAAAACAAGGTTGGCCATGTAACACAATTTGTCCCGGACCGTTATCTGTCTGTGGATACAACACATCACCTGTTTGTTTGTTCAAGCCTGCCTTGCTCGGCCTCATCGATACATCTGCACCTTTAACTCAAACTAGAATAAGCGCAACGCACACAGTTTGCGTTTGATCGACACACTGCTGTAGACTGGACACCATTCTCACACGAGCTGAAAAACTACCCAGGTGTGTCTGGTATCTCCACCCGCAGTCTAATCTTCAATCTTCCATGAGGTTCATATGCATATATTGCAGATGCATACTTGCAACATGAGCTGGGGAAAGTAGATTGTAAGTACAATGTTTTGAAGTTCCGAGTTTCGGAATTGGCACCTCTTGAATTACACCCCTCCTCAGAGACATTTGAAGCATTTTTTGCGGTTTCTTTGAGGGTTGGAGATGGTGAGGGTACACACCAGAGGGGGTAATAAACCTCCTTTCGTACACCAGATGTCTTCACTAGACTGCGGTGGACTATACAGCTGCCAACAACACAGCAGGAGTGATGTCGTCAGTGTACATGAACAGAGGGTCAGCGACCTCCCCCGTGTTCATTGTGTCTTGATCAAAGAGTGCGCGCCAGCGTGCGTAAACAGCAGTGTTGCGAGCAGTAAGAACACTACCACCGCCACCAACAACAACAACAATCACCTCAGCCATCGACCCGCCCCGCATCTGTGCGCACAGACCCCGAGCCGATCGATCCGCACCATAGCAGCGAACTCGCCCATCACCGGCTGTTGCCCTATCTTCGCTTTCCGAAACTGCAACTTCACTCGGTCGTGGCCGGAGAAGCCCGGTCCTTGAGCCGCCGATCCCAGAGCCGATCGTATGCGCTGCGTCTCCAGTGCACACCCACGCAGCGAGAAGCGCCGCTGGGCCCATCAGCCTGAGCAGCCTAGTCGGTGACATGTCGGTGCCAGCAAGCAACCCGGACATCATGAAAGAGACAGAGAGAGGTTCGTCTGCTTCTTCTTCTTGTATCACACCGGGAGCAGCCAGCACTCACAGCTGAGCTATTCTACACCACCAATATCAAACACAGCGGAGACACAGAAGCTGTAGAGAGCTAGCCAACCACTCAGCGGGCGGCGGTGCGACTGTCCCGTCTCTCGCTCGCGTGCGTGTCACAGTCAGTCACAGTCAGCGTTGTGTCCCCCCGGCCGCCCTGACCGCTGGCTTTGGCGTTACAATACAATGCCTTCAGAACTTACTGAAACCCCCCACCCTCTCTCTCCCCCTGCTCAGGCTGGCTCCGGCTCTCTCCCGCGCGCCTGCGATCCCTTCCCTGCAAGATTCGAAGAAGGGCTCGGTGGTCTGCTTGAACAGACCCCCGTAGTGTATTGGTAGGTCCAGGTCCAGATACATCTTGCCGTCGATAAGGTAGACGAGAGCAGGGAGAGCGTACGGCAAGGACAGGCGACCAATACTTTTTGAATTCAAACGCGGATTTTTTGTAGGAACAGCAGCAGCAGGCGCAGCGGAACATGCTCGCGGGTTAAGGATACTACCGACCGACGTCCCTCTACGCCCGAGGCTCCAAAACACTGCAACGAAGTGATGGCGTCCGAAGGACTGAAGCGACCACGCTCCAATGACGGCGGCGACGGAAGCGGAACCGTTTCCAGCAGCAGCGGAGACGACCTGCTCGACCGTAAATGCGGTTTCTGTAACCTGGGCCACAACGAGGGACTGGAGGTGCGAACTGCTGCTGTCGTCCTAACCCCTTGGCGACCTGCATGGACAATCCGCACACCCCTGGAGCTTTCTCCATAGACAGCAGTGTAGATGTGCCATAGACGGCAGTGTAGATGTGTAGATATGAGTGTACACACTTGTTGCTGAGCGGACAGTTCTTCACCCAGTTGCGGGACCCCCTCCAGTGGCAAGGCTTGCAGTGAGCACAGCATCATTTACATAGTACACCGGCGTTCATGGTTGATTTCAAGGAACCCGAGTTCACGGAATGCGGCGTTTTCTGTGGTCCGATCCGCCACACTGCTGTTGTTGCTGTCAATAGGTTGGGATGTACATAACGACCGCCTACCGCTATTTTATGTTCGAAGCGCCTCCCGGTCTCGCTCCTCCGACCTAGGTTACGATACTCCCGTCGTTGCTGCTCACTTAGCCGTCTCATTTGCCGCCGGGTCAACACGTAGTCTAGTCTGAACAAGCGGTAAAAGAGCGAGGAGGAAATGAAGAACCACGCCGAACCCGTCGCGGAAGAGGCCAAGGCGTTCGCTGAGCGAGAGCGTCGTCTAGCGGATTGCCCCGATCACGTTATTTTTTTCCGTTCTAGATTGTTCTAGAAGCTTGGTGTACCCCTCTTTGGGTAGTTGGCCTGTGACCACGGAAGGCGTCCGCGTCAGTGGGACCGGTACGTACGGATGTAGCAAGGTACCTGAGCGAAGACCGGAACGGTTTTTAATGTGAAGACAACAACAACACCAACGACACCAACAACCCCTTCCGCCCTCTGTCCCTCCCCCCGCCGGGCTACCTCTCGATGCATCCAACGTTACACACAAAGATGGCAACGGACTTCATCGACATCCCTACCGACCGGAACGTGTGGGCATCCGATGAGCCAACCCTGACGCTGAACAGGAAGCCCGTGTGGTGCCACACCAACTGCGTGCACTTCAGCCCGCAAACGATCTACGACGAAACCGCACCGAAGTGCAAGTGGCGTGACGTCAGCAGAGTGAGCAAAGAGCAGCCGCAGCGAGTGGCAGAGCTTGACCTCGGTGGTCTCGGCAGTATATGGTTTGGAGCCGCATGTGTTTGGTTGGCGGTGTGATTTTTCGCCAGAACCGGTCGTCTTGCCTCCGTCCAACGCGCCCGGTCTTCTCTCCTTTTTGGGTGGACCTTCCTCCTGTTGGTCGGTATCCGCATTAAATAGCGCGCCGCAGACCGGGCGTTCCTTGACGCACCTTGGTATCATCCAGCCCGATGGCTTCTTGTCAGGCCGGTTCCGGGATACCCTTGCTTTGTTTGCATCAGACACATTGTTGTTCTGCTTCGGGGACCGACGGAGGAAGGGACCCGTTCAGAGGAGGACTGTGTTGCCTGGACGACTCCGCCCGTTCCCCCACTGTATTGCTGTGGTTGCTGTAGTTTGTTTGCGCCCGAGGGAGAAAACGCCAAGAGAACTCGTGGCGTGACACCAGTGAAGCGGCCGAAGAACATCCAGAAATGAGAGCACGTACCCGGAACGGGGAGCGTCTCCCCAAGAGGACAAGTCGCCATTTCCTCCGCTTCGTTTTGTGGTGTGGTGAAGTTGATCACCGTGGACCACCCAGCTCTTTCAAGGAAAGTAGGTGTAGTAACAATGCACCGTCTTGTCGTCTTCAGTCTGGGGCGCAATCACCCATACATACGTGGTCCATTGCAGCGCCCGGTTTGTTCCCCCTCATCCTCCACGCCGTTCATTCCGGTCCAACAGCGGCCTGTTCCCACCCCAAATACCGTCTGCGTGCCCCCCCCCCCCCCATCAACGCGCACGCAGGAGTACTTCCGTGCCCGATGCTTGAGTTGCATCATCTGCGAGGAAAAGGGGGCATCAATTGGGTGCACGGTATCCAGCTGTAATGCTTCGGTCCACTTTCCATGCGCAATCAAGGCGAGTCGAGTCCAGTGTGATGTCAACTTCACTAAAATATTTATTCTTGCGCTTCCCCCGACCGCTAGCTCCAAAGGCTGGCAGTGTTGTCTTGTCGGCGCGTTCCCCGTGCGGCATCGATGCCCACCAAACGTTATTGGAGCGCCTAGAATGAGAGATGCAAAGTGCTCGAGAGTCGTACATGCCGCTTATTTGAACCGTTTGTACCTGGCTGCAGTCGTATTGTTATGCTACCACTGTTGTGTTGCGCAAGTAGCGCCCCTCTCCTCGTCAATTTTCCGTCCTTACGCCCGCCATACCCCCTTTCCTTTCCCAACCATCGCCCCCCCCCCCCTCCTCCCCGTCCTCACCCCCAGCCTCGTCTTCGCGACTTCGACATGAACCTATCATGTTCCATATTGTTACTCCGTTTCTGCTTCAAGGCCCTCCTGTTGTCACTTCTATAACAGGAGAGCCATATGTTCTTCTTGCCCACGCCGCGAATAATCGTACGCGCACGCCCCCCTTTTGTTTCGCGCGCTTTCTCGACAGCACCCGCCTCTCCTCGCCTCGTTCCGTGTGGTGTGGACTCTAACCGCTCTTCTCCCTCGTCGCCGCCTTTCTTTTTTGTTGCCGCTCAGGAGGTCCTTCCCGACGGCCGGAAGAACTGGTACCCCTGCCAGGAGTCCGAGCTCCCCTACTTCTGCCCGAAGCACTTCGCCCAGCGCTCGGTGCACGAGCAGGACAAGGAGATCGCCCGGCTGTCCGACCTGTCCCAGGGCAACGAGCCCTATCCCATCCCCCTCGAGATGGGCCTGGCCTTGGCGATGAAGACGCCCTTCCACTCCGCGCTGGCGGCGCCCGGGACGGCGAACGGCAAGGGGCACGCCGGCGGCGTCGGCGGCACGGCTGCGGCTGCGGCGGCAGCGGCAGCGGCAGCCGCGGAGGAGGACCAGGCGAGTGCCCGCGAGCAGTGGCAGAAGGTGCTCCCCGAGGTGCCGCTCCCCCGGGGCCTGCTGACGAAGCCCAGGGAGATCGACTTCACGTACGTCCCGGCCACGGTTGACAGGTGCGCAGCGAGTGTGTGGCTACGACCGCCTTTCTGAGAAGACGTTTTGTTCTGCACTAGCTTTCGAAGACCGGGGGGGGGGGGGGGGGACCCCTACTCCCGCCTGCCGCACTCGTTTGACCCTTTACCTCCCCTCC